TAAATTATAATTTGGGCATTAAAACTATAAATGACGATAGTATGTTAATTATTTTACCATCATTTATAAACATTATTAACGAGAACTTACACTTGTATATGTTTTATATTATGCGTTATGAATTTTACTATACACGATGTCATTTTTGATTGATTTTAAAATAATATATATTATGAATCTATTTTTACTGTTTAACGGTAATTGCAGAAATATGTTATTACGTTTTGAGTTATATATAATAAATATATATTATTATAATAAATACTAATAAATAATAATACAATAAACGCAATATTTGTAGAAAAAAATATATCAACCTACTATACCTAGTACTATAATGCTAAAAGTAAAATAAATAAGTTCATTAGCTTTGTCAAAAAAAAAAAAAAAACATATTCACTTAGTTAGCTGATAAACCATTACGGCATTACCACTCAAAATCGATTTTAATATAAGTACAATGATATGAATATATCATTGAATTCAAATTTAATAGATCTATAGGCTATAATAATGATTCATTCGAAACCTAATGAATAGCAAAACAATATTCACATCATATCTACCTTTTTATACATACAATTTATTAGAAAAATATTTAGATTTGAGTTATTAAATTAACAATATATTTATGTAGGTAACTTTTAATATAAAATATATATTTTTTTAAGTTTATTATTAGTAATTTAAAAGTATTTTTAATTTTAATTTTAATTAATAAGTACTTAAAAAAATATTTTTTTAAAAACTAATACTTTACAATTTTACAAAATAAGAAGTGTTTTCTTACATGTCTCCTGTAACCCCATAAACCAATACATATTGTTTATATTATTATTTTTTTACATTTATATTATTATTGTAGACATTTACGCACGTGTACACACGACAATATTTTAATATCATAACATGACGTGTACACACATAAATGTACCTATGTTACCAACCATCACTTAAAATAATAATATAATATCACATAGTTACTATATTATACTAACAGCTACAAGTATAACAATATAAATAATTTTATGGTATTTTAAAAAAAAATATAAGCTACAATTTTAAATCATGTTTTTATGTAGAAGAGTCCGAATAACAGAAAGTACCGCAGTAGGATATCTGAATATGTACTTTAAGACCTATACCAGGGGTGGGCAACTGGCGGCCCGCGAGCCTTTTTTATCTGGCCCGCGCTACATTTTCAAATTGCATTAGGTATAAGTATACAATTTTAACCTATGTCCTATTTCATTATAAACAAAATAAATGCTATTCAAAATTTATATTTTGAATGACCTTTATTTTTTTCCTGCTTTCTATGTTCTGGCCCGCTATATTTTAAATTTCTAAAAATTGGCCCTATAGTAACTTTGAGTTGCCCATCCCTGACCTATACCATTACTGTATTCTATAGCATTGAACATTTTCAACGACTTACTTGATCCTGTTCGGCCATGACTTTTTTTTTACTTCTCCTCCAGTAGAATTTACTTGCTTACACTTATATTATTTGATATATCAAATATTCGTATGTGTAAAAATCGTGTCTAGGACGATAATGGGCAGTCAGCTGCGATATTTCTGTAGTTGTTTATGATTTATATAAATATATAGTTTCTATACAAGGTGCATAGTTGTTTTTTTCGGATTTTTTTACACATTTACATACCACGTCAAAGTATTTTAGTACCGCGCGGGTTAACCATCGCCGTCGTCGTATTACTGCGCTGTATATTATTTATGCAATCTAAACGCCTACCCTTCACCATCGTAGACCGTTAATGTGTCTGTATAATAGTATTGCGTACATGGAAAAATAAAGAAAAAGAGGGGAAAACGACCGAAAAGTCCCGAAAAGTACCGTTAAAAATATATTCATGTCTTATTATTATTATCATCATTATTATTGTTATTATTATATTGTTCGTTCCGTTTTCAAATCGCGTGTAAACAACGTCGCGATAAACTAAATACATATTATATATGCACAATGATATCTACTACTGCACGCTCATTCACCTATAACCTTTTTCAACTGCCGTGCTTGTTTCCAGAAACATAAAAACCAAGACACTGAACAACGTCTATGCGGCACGAATTTCGTACTAAGAAAATAGTCTTAAATTTAGTTATAGTTATTGTATTATTTCCGTACCTAATTAATTATTATACTAAGTTATGTTGATATCATTAATAAATAAAAAATAATATTTGAAAAAAATTGTAGACATTTCACGAAAACTTAAATACATTTTTCTAGATAGCCATAACTTTTATCTATTAGTTGTTAGTTAGATATCAATTTTTCAATTTGTCTAGATAAGATAAAGCTACTATCGTTTTATCTAAATAATTTTAGCTATTTACACCACCACTAAGGTGGTGAACTGTAAATTATTTTTAATTGAAAGATTTTTAAATGTATTTATAAAAGAAAATGTAACAATACATAATGCAAATTTTCAAACTAAATTTAATTGTCTTAATCTTATTTATAACTGTTTGAAAAATTTAGATAACGGAAAAACAATTAATTTAACGCTTCAAGTATAGATTTGAATACATTTAAGAAATATGTAGGTATATTAATAAATAATATTTATAATATTAACTTTTATAAATGAAATATTAAATTAATTTTAAGTCTCAAATCAATAATTTTAAAAGGTTTAAATTTGATTAACATTGAATTTAGTTGTAAAATAAAGATTAAAGAAAATAAAATACAAATAAAAAAGATAAATATAATATTAAACAATTTAATCTTCTTGTTAATATAATTTAGATGAAATTTAATAAAAACATTTAGTTTTTTAACTAATCTAAACTAGTAACCGAGTGATACAGAGTATTTTACTAATTGTTATCAGAAACAAATACATGACAATATTTTTTACTATATTAAATATATAAATGGAGATTTTAAGCCACCTGTAGAATATTATGATATTTTTATATATTTTTTCTTCTTAAGTTCTAACAAGAAAAATAATTTTCAAGGATTTCGCAAGATTTAAATAAAAACAATTATACTTGACATTATCTATTAAAATATATATTCATGGAAATATTTTTATCTGATTTAAAAATATTTCATGTTCTTTATCATTATTTAGGGTACATAATATAAACTAAAAATATTTATTTTGACATGGAATTTGTCTTTCTTTTATTTCGTTTTACATATAGTTACAGCTAGCTACACAAAGTAGCTAAGGTATTAAATTAAATGATATATTTTCTCAGTGAATTTATACTTACTGTAATGTTTTTATTTACTTTCTTTGTAATTAATATCAGACTGAATCACAACGAAGCGTTCAGTTAGTAATATACATTTCGTCGTCTCAGAATTCTAACTCTTACAAATAATATGAATGATAAAGGGCAAACCGAGAAATAACAGTTAGAACTTTTTCATTCTAAACAATAATTTAGATTATTTAGAATGAAATAGTTCTAAAATTCTTTGGTATAATATCTTAGAATCAAAAGGTACTGTTTTAAATTATAATACGATTATACCATTGATGCAATATTTAATAATACAAATTATTTTTGTGCCATAATAAAATATTATTCCGGTATGTAGGAATTTTCCATCTATTTTTGTTTTGTCTTAATACTATACTGTATATCTTATACACGATAAAGTATAAATTATTGACATAATATTGTTAACTATAAATATTATGCTATTATCATTTAATGTCAGATACTGAAAAAAATTACTATGAAAATATATTTCAGAATGTATGATTTTTCAAAAAAACAGTTTGTTGAGAATTTTATAACTTGTAGTATAAGTTATTATAATTTTTTTTATTTATAAATATTTTTAACTTGTCTTTATATAATTTAATAACTTACTTTTTATGGTTAAAAATGTATCTTATTTCTTATTAGGTATATTTTTAAATACATACATTCAATTTTGTTATTATTTAAATAATTTTGTTTACAATTTTACCTAAGCTTAATAATTCACTTATCACTTAATTAGTGTTAAAAAATAAAACGTGATTGGTTGTGAACCCTTTTAATCTAACACAAGCTAAATTTCATTTGAGTTTATGAATATAATATAGGGTAATTAATTTCAATTTGAAGATACACCACTTAGTGACATCGAAAACGTCTTAACGTATTGTAGAGTTATACCTTGCAGTTGTAGGTAATCATATAATACCTAATAGGTAATTACTAATTAACTTCGAAACTAAAAAATAATACATTACATAGTAAAATTGTTTATAATATTACGTAATGAAAAGATCTAACATAATTTACACTTGTAAGTTGGTATTATTAAATAAAACAAATTATTTTAATCAATATCAAAAAGTTGTAACTTAATCAATAATATATTTTCTTAGAACGAAAAGGTTCTAAATTGATAAATAATTTTTATTTTCAGAATGAAAAAGTTCTACACATACAATCTTTTAATTCTAAAAATAATATCTTAGTTTTTTATTATTGACTTGATCAATAATTGCGGTAAAATAAAATTTCAAGTGTAGTCGTGTTTTTTGGAACTTTATTGATACTGCATAACATTTTTGTAATTAAGTTTTTACGTTAAAACAAATTATTCCATTTATAACTTAAAAACGTTCTTCTAAACAATTAATAAAAATTTGTTAGAATCTTATCATTCTGAGACGACGATTTTACAAAATATATATGTATAACGGCGACTTAAATAAACAATTTTACTGCGTCCATGCACGGTAGGTATGCCGCGAACAAAATAATAATTTATAGCTAATTTAAATAATATTATTGCAATGTGTACCTGATAATTGATACAGCTACAAACATTTTCCTTAATCTGAAGTCATGACGTCTTCTTAAATTTTTAATCAAATAAAAAAAAAATTGTCAAATTAATAAGTAAATAGGTAGTTACTGCACAATTTTATTCTACGCATTATATTATTATTGTTATTAAATAATATGTATAAAAAATATAGATTATATTATATATATTAGGTATATCTTTATTTTGACTTTTTATCTTTGACATTGATTATTTTTCTTAAATATCCAATGGATTTATATAAAATAAACGTGATTAAAGCTAAATTAGCACCAATGAAAATCATTACGTCAGTAACAAAATATTGATACCAACTTAAACTCATGGACATTGCCGCATTGTGGTCAACCCCGTTTCTGATTAAATATTCAACTGAATATACTGCAGTATCCATCGCGGAAACTGGTATGTCTAAGAAGATATTGGAAGCTCTTTGGGCATTATTCTTATAACTGAAATAAAACGTACCATTAATATACAGATATAATCACAAAAAAAGGTATAATTAAATTTAAAAATGATTGTTTTGATTTATGATGATAAAAATGTCTTGATCATCCGATAAAAATTCATCAAAGATTCATCATAAATTGTTCTTATTGAAATTTAAAAACTATTTAAGCATAAAGATTGATTAATTTTTTTTAGTGTTCGAGTTCAAATTTAAAACAACAATTTTATTTGTCATCAAACAATTTAAATAATAATTAAAAAAAAACATTAACCACAGAGACATGAAAATGTTTACCATTAGGTACATTTGTTATTATTTTTATAGTTTATACACTTTAAAATTAAAAAAAAAAAATATTTAGACTATTCTTGAGTTATTTATTTCATCAAAGTATTCACGCCGTTGCATATTGTAAAAAAGTTTTATATTGACTTATAAACTAATAACAGAAATGTATGATTTAATAGTTATACAACAATAATTAAATATTTATAACATAATGGTAGCGATAATTTTGGTAAAATTTGTTTAAAATATCATGATACTAATAATCATAATAATTGTAATGAGTAAATTATAAAATTTCTTTAGAAGTCGAGGCTAATAAAAACCATTTCTACTAAGAATTTTAACTATAGGTAAATAATTTATTATTGAATTCGATGGTAACATATTATAAACCTACTACATTATTATGATTTATACAATTACGGATTACAAAGTATGCCTCAATATATTATACAGCTGAAAGAGTTTTACAGATAATTAAATAATCAATTTAATTAAAGTACTTTCAAATATCAATTTAAATCAAATTATTTTTAACTATTTTTAACTTTATTTTAAGTTTTGAATAAATAGTATATTTATAATAATATATATTATCATATGATATTTCTGTATATAGTCCTAAAGTACTTTCTTACCTAACATCATATAAAATTTTTTCTATTGCATCGTCAAGGACTTTTAGGTTCAAGCTGTCCAGTGATATTTCGATTCCGAAACCGTTTTTGACGACAAATCTCATGTTGTAATACTGATCAGTATAAAACGGGAATCCAATTAACGGTAAACCAGTGTGTAGGGCCTCCACGAGACTGTGATATCCTCCGTGAGTGATGAACAGCTTACAGTTTTTATGGCCTTAGGTTAGAAACAATAATATAAGTAGTACATAAATTACAATCGACTAGTACGTCGTATAATTGTAGATAATCTTATATATGAGTAAGTAATGTAGATTAGAATGCAGTTTAGTCGGAATGGTATTTTTAGGGCAATAACATTCAATGTTTTTATAATTGTATTCATAAAAAAGTATCACAAATAATAAATAATATTTTATAAATCAACGTGAATGTAGTATGTGTAAGTATTGTATTAATAATAGGTAAACTACCGCAGCCTAAAGATTCAATGTTGATTTTTTTACGCTGAAATTTTAGTTGAATTTAAAAACATGGAATTTGCATAGTGTGCTTTACAACGAATAAAAGTACTCGACATTTAGAAATAAATTTAAAGACTTTTACTGAAAGCTACTCTCTATTTGTAGAAATAATTTGTAAAGTAGTAACTATTATGTGATATGATTAACATAATTTAATATAGTTGATAATCAAATAAAAATTTTTAGACTTTCTATAAAATTATTTGCTTATTTTAACTAAGAAAAAGAAATTTCGCCTATTTCTTGTTCGTTTTAATTACAGAAAACATTTATTTTAAATAAAATTAAAAATAAGGTACTTAACTGATTAAATTATAATATGTTTCAAAAAATAGTTTTATCAGTTTAGATAAGAAACAAAAAAAAAATCAAACAAAATTTATTATAATGATAGTAATAATATTTTTAAATATTATAAATTTACAATAATTATCTTAAAAAAGAAATTGTAGAGCACCGATTCTACGGTCATCGATTTAAATCAAATACTAATTTATAATTTGTTTGAAAATAAATGTTAATTGTACGAACGATCAATCAGGTTTGTTTTTACAATTAATAAAATTATATAAATTGTAAGAATTTGGATAACACATATTTCATCCTTATTTATGCTATAAATCCATGTCATATATATTATATACTATAACAGAGACCACTGTATTTTTTTATTTTTTTTTTTTGTGAACTAAATAAAGTTTTTATTTGATTTTATGATTTTGCTTTTACTTTTTTTTTGAATAAACATATTTAATCTATTGTGACTTCATCGAAAATTTCTTGAATTCCTAAAGTAGGTCTCCAAAAATTGTAATTAGTGTTTATTATGTGTTTTTATGTAAAATCAGTGCTTAGCTCCGTCTAAGAACCGCTATTGTATATCTTGTCGAATGTTCGTTATTTATTTATGACATTCATGCACTTACTTAAGATGTATTTTTGTGGAAACCATTTGTCAATGTACACGTTGTCGGGTAAGTTAGCGATGGTCCCGTTTTCCCATTTCCATAGCACGATTTGCTTGAGTTTTCTAAATGATTCAACAAACACCCGTACGTAGCGTTCTGGCAGGTCTGATAAATTTATGTTGGATCCAAAACTGAAGTAGATCACTCCATGGTTAGCACCATCGAGGAGTGCTTTGAATTTCTGTCGAACATTATAAGAATGAACATTTTAAAACTTGTTCAAAATTAACTGTTTAAATAACTATATGTACTTGTTATTTAATTCAGTATTCAATAAATAAAATTAATACCATCTATACATCATAATTTATTAGAAAAAAAGAAACCAATTTGATTTCCTCACCAAAATTACAGTATTTAGTTAAACATTTTAAAATTAAGTATCTTTAATTTTATGTTGTACACTTGCATCTATATTAACTATTAGCCACAGATACATATTTTAACAATTATAGTTAAACAGTATTAAACATTTTTCCAAGAACTAAATCGTTCAATACATATTATTTTATAGAACGATTTAGTAGATTAGATATGTGTTATCAAGTTTTCAATCCTTAAATTAATTGAGAAAGGGCAAGCACGGCTGATATATTATGTTGCATTTTCTCAGTATTTAATAATTTTTGTTAGTTAAAATACATAGAATATATTGCATAGTTGTAAATTATCTACCGATAAGTCTATTTACGTATGTATAGGTAACACAAAATTAATATAATATGATATATCATATAAGTTATAACATTATAGGGAATGATTTTCTTATTACTATGCGATTGTTTGCTTAATTAATTTATGCATACCTAATATTTTGAATAATTTTTTTTTTACATTATTTGAACAATCAAAGTTTTTACTGCCTATTTTGATTTTTTTTCGCTATTTTACTTGTACTACCTTTTTAAAAACTTAAGATAATGTGAAAAACAACAGTTTCTCTTTTTGATTAAGCCTTGTTCAGCTCACCCGATCGACGGAGGTTGACGTCTTCGACTGCACGTGCATTCCAGCCACTTGGACCACGTTTGACGGGTACGGCCTGGAATATGACACGGAGTAGTGGCCGTTGACCAACGTAAGTTGGACAGAGCGGCGGAGCTCGTCCAACGGCGGGCAGTTCTGGTGCCCGGGATAGGTGTACAGTTTGAATAGCATTTGCTGATCCATGTACCGAAATATGACATTGGATACAATCAGCTCAGCAGCAGCGATCGCTGTGTTGTACAGGCGCTCGCTGAATGACATGGAGTCCGAGTACCGGAGCCAGAACGACGGCACATACGCAGGATGGTTCGGCATGCCCAGTGATTGGCTAAGCATTACCGGCGGTGTCATTGGACTCATACACACTAACGGAGCGGAATATCTGTGCAGTCACCGCAAAATGTTAGTATACAGGATGATTAAAATTTAATATCAAAATCTTTGATTTTTATCCGTATGTACTAAAATAAACGCGTTGGAACTGTGCAAAAGAAAGTGTTTTTTTAGTAGAAAATATTCGTTTTGCATTTAGATACTCAATGTGACCCTCCTGAAACATTTGAATGATATCAACCCGATAATCGCAGAGCAGACCTGAACAGTTGCTACAAACTACATAAAAGCTGAGGTTACTTGCCGGTAAAGCACGTTCCACTAGAGATATTTCGTGAAAACTAAATGAAATTTCTAAAGATTATTTAAATGATGATAAATAATAGCACTTGGCTCTCTATTCCTTCTTTTTAAAGATCTCGTTTTTTTAAAGACATGGCATTGTTTTTGAGTCATTCTGTAATTGCATAGGTGCAAATAGGTGGAGGAAAACTGTAGGTACATAATATATTATATTAAATAATATTTTACGGAAAATATTTTCATTTATGAGATAAAACATTGGCTATAAAAACGAGTATGCTAAAATAACTGTTTTTTTAATTTAATTATTTTTAATATTATAGAAAGAGATATTGTCAAATTTTAATAAATTACGACGATAATATTTAAAATTATTTAATTTAAAAGACAGAACTTTTATGATAAAATATAAATTTAATTTTTCGATTAAAATACAGTCAACTCGCGATATAACGAATTTCAAGGGACCGAGAAAAAAATGCGTTATATCGAAAGTTCGTTACATCGAAATTCGTTATATCAAGAGAATATACCAATTAAATTCGTTATAACAAGATTTAAAACAAAAATTCAAAATTGTATTATTCGTATACATATGTATAAAATATATGAGTCATATAAGTATGTATTTATTGTTTATTTCAATATAAATGTATGTAATATTTCTAATAAAAATATGCTATAATAATAATATTGCTTTTAATATGTACATATAATAAATCGCTATACATGTGTGCATTTATTTTTTTAAAAAATCAGATATTTTTGATTGTCTGCAACTGCTTGAGTTTACCTAATCAATAATATTGTCCAGATTTAAAATGCTAGAAAACACACTGTCGTCAATATCATGTCTCTATAAATAACTTAAGACGAAGCGAAGACCTAATTTGACTTCCTTCAAGGTTACGATGGGTTCTTCAGAAGATTTTTCTTCGTCATTTTCTTTAAACGGTACCGATATGTTACATAGTATGTTACGTACATTTTGCATAGAACCACTAATCGACATAAGTCTTATTTTAATTGCGATACTGTACTTGAGTGTACTATCGCATGATAATCATCAGAAAAACTTCGTAATCTATTAGTGGTAATAGCAACATACTTATGTTTATATATTTTTCATTGAGTTATACACTAGAGACATGTATGTTATCTTAATTAAAATTAAAAATTCGTAATAGAAAGCTCCAAATTTATAAAAATTTGTTACATCGCGAGGTTTTGATCAAAAATGCTTCGCTATATCGAGGGGACCAAAATACATTACATTTGTTCGTTATACCGTGATATTTTCAAGGGACCGGTAGTTTTATTCGTTATATCGAGATTTTCGTTATATCGAATTTCGTTATATCGCGAGTTGACTGTATTTATAATAATTTATAATTTTTTTAAGCCACTAACCAAACATGCACACTTAGTAAAGAGTGTTGGGAAAATGTTTATAGATTAATAAAAAATATATATTAACACTATAATTCTTCTTCTTCAAAAAAAAAAATTGGTTTTTAAAATTATGCTTATAAATGTTATTATAATTGTTTTAATACCTTTACAGTTATTAAATCTTATTTATTTCAATTAAACCAAGCAAATTATGGTAATTTTAAAATAAATTACAAAACTATAGTTTTTAAATGTTAAGAACTTGCTTTGTAATTAAAATATCAATAAAAACCTCCAAGATAATCTAAATGACTAGATGATCATTATTAAATTCACTCTAATTTTAAAATTAATACTCAAAATACAATATGTTATTATGGACGTAAAATTTGTTATGTTGTACGTTTGTAAGACGGAAACAACATGTATGAGTGTTGCATCCCGTTAAATACTTATATGTTAGAACTTAGTAAAACACTATATTATACTTTTTCAGTTTTTTAATTTTGCATTAATTAATTTTGATAGTTAAATTATCCTAATCTGAGTTAGGATATTGTATGATACAATATCAAAGTAGCTGCACGAACATAATATAGCTGTTCATATTTTACGAACCGAGCAAGGGAATTTTAGGATAATATTTTAAAAAAACGCCAGTATAGTTCCCACTTCCCTTATTAGAAAAACCTATTAAATCAGCCTGTGAAATAGTAAAAAAAAATCTGTTGGTTAATTGTATATTTAAAATAAATTAAATATTTAAATATTTCAAAACTTTGTAATAAGAATAAATGTTTTCAAACTTTATCTTTATCATACAAAATATATTATCAAACCGTGTAACAATATATCAATCGAACAAGCTAACGAATGATTTATATGTACAAATAAATATAATATAACACAAACGCACAAAAAAGGAAAATTAAACGCTGATTTACTACTTTTAAGTTTTATTCCATTTACGTTTTTTATTCAATTTATTTAAATAAAACTGCAAAAAATAATTATAGACATTGTTACCTATGACCCAGTGCCAGGTAAGCGTCAGAGTACCAACATTCAATCAACACCAGATCGAAGGAATTCCGAGTGTTGTTGAGAAACTCCCGAACCTCATTCAGCACCAGAGTCCTCTCGACCGTTTTTGACATGGCCCGCTGAACGTTAATCATATTGCTCACCCGATATGTATTGCGGATATCCATTGGATTTATGATTCTCTTAATTTTCACTATATCCATATAAAATAATCATATATTTTATATTCGTTATTAAATAGATTCCGTTCTCTATAATAATCTACTATTTAACTGATTTTAATGTAATCTTAGCTTATTGATTAATTTTTCTACACATCATATCCTCACTACTAAGATGGCTGGTTATATACACTTATAAATGTACATTATTATTTATTAACATAAGGAAATAATGAGAAATATTAAATCTTATACTGCATTCTGTATATTATTTTTGATTAAAAATATCAAAGCTGGATGGGGCCAAAACCCGTGATATGCGATTTCTTAACTTTGTCAATTTTAGTAGCATGATTTCTCTTCCTAACAATTTAAGAAATTAGAATTGCCCACAAAAATGAGTGCAACTTTGCCAACATATACTTAGTATTCAGTAATGATAACAATGGTAATATTTTCAAATAAACACGATCAATTAACTTTTAAGACGTTAATTAAAAAGTGTGTTTTTCCATTAATTGTATTATTAAATTAGGCATATTATGTTATACATGTATATATATAAATATATATATAATATAATTTTTAATACAACCAATAGTATAGTCAATAAATATATATATAATAACACAATAGAAGTAAAAATATAAATTAAAACCTTGATATTGATAATCATTCCTTAAAAAATTTAGCACTAGAAATAATAGTCACAGCAAAGTTTCTGAAACTTTATCAAAGCTAAGCAATAATTCCCTAAAATAAATAAATTAACAAATTTTCATGATTGCGAACAACGGTAACGTTGCATTCAATTTGGGTAGAAAAATCGTACACTATCGTATTAGTGAAAAAGGTCCATACGTTATCGTAACGCACTCGTAAAAAAGAGTAAATACGTATATTATTCACATAATATTTATATATAATGCGTACCATTAGGAACAGGTACATGATGGTAAGTAGTCGGTACGTCTCCTTTTGGATAATACGGACTGACTACGGTCACACGGTGGCCACGGTTCGCCAATTCCAGAAATAGCGGATTGAAACCGGAAAAATGACTGTAAACTGGCAACGGAAAGAATGCTAATATATTCGCTCCGGTAGTGACTGACCGCACTACGTCACTGCTGGCAATTAGAAAAATCCCGACTATTATTGAAATCTGTAATGGAAATCAGAAAAATATTAAGTAACTTTAGTTAACCACGTAATTGAAAATTATCATTGATTATCATCTATGATATTTTCGATACTTCACGTACGTAAAGTGAAGAACTTAAAAACGAGTCAAGTCAGTAAATTTTGGCACAGAAATATCATCCCAAATAAATTATAAGTTATAACATTTTAATTGTAACTTCATTCTCGAAATTTGTAAGTTGACCCTATCTTGTGTAGAGCTATTGAAAATTGGATGGCATTCCAACCTTTTCCAAATCTAAAAATGGTTATTTGTTTTCGGTATACAAAAAATATTTTTATCACCAATTATCATTAGAAATTAATAACTGAAAAAATAATCCTGAGCTTTTGTCACACGTTTGTCTGCAGATTTTTCAAAAAAGAATAATACATAATTTAAATGCGAGATACATTAATAAGTACTTATATTAAAACGATCAATAAAAATATTATTCAATATAATAATACGAATATGTCGTATGTACCTATAACTATCGATTATCAACAGCATCGTCTTATATAATTTTTAATATGTGCATAAAAATGGACTAGAAGTTTCATGAAATAAATTTGGACTAAACCTGATTCTTATTTATAATTACAGATGCAAGATAATACATATAAAAATCTATAGGTTAGGTTAGGTTATATCCTATAGATACTAACTTAATATTACATACAGCTATTTATAAGGGTTATAAGAAGTTATAAATGATACAAATCTGAAATCATAAACATATAACTGAGTTATAAGGAACTATGTAAAAGTCATTCTTAATATGTTTAATGGTTTATATCTAAATATTTTATCAAAGAAATTAAAAATAAAAACGTGGTTTTGTGATATCAATTTTTAATTAAGTGGCCGAGCGGACTAAGGCATCGGTTGCGTAGCGCACCGTCGCCGGTTCAAATCTCGGTTACGGGCGGCGTCACTCTTCAGGCAGTCACGGTGTCTAGAGAGAGAGGCCACCGCCCCCCACTCGGGCATGGCAGAAACCTACGGGTGCCCACTAGAAATTCTGCCAAATAGGCGTCCGAACTATAGGCCTTCGGGCCTACTCCCGGACATAAGCGCCATACGAAAAAAAAAAAAGGGGGGGAGGGTTAAATTTTACATGAACGGAATACGTTAAATAGCCAGGACCACTGGTAGACCTCGCCACGGCTCTGCGTGTAATAGTAACTCCCAAAAGTCAGGTTTTAAAAAACGGTATGTTATATAATAAGTAGAGGAGAGCGTGGTAAGTTGACGACTCTAAAGTTGGAATGATAATTACGTTATTAAATAATAATCAAAAAATCTTGAAATTTTGTATTAACATTGTCTTAAATATCAAGAATAACCTATAATAATTTCAAGACTTAATATTAAACTTATAAACTTAACAAAAAAAATTCTAAATTCATCATCTTACCCCATATACGGGACAAGTTGATTTATCACTGGGGTAAGTTGAATGGTTTATGTCATACAATAGATAAATCAATAAAATGAAGAATAAATATTAAGTTTATTTTACATATGATAATATTAAACATATAACAACTTTCTCAAAGTAAATAAACAATTATTATTTTTAATTAAAATATTTTTGATGAATTTATTCATTTATTGTATTTCATTAAAATATTATCAAATGAAAATTTAAATGATAAAAATGATAATTATTAGATAATCTGTCCGTTATTTAAATAAATAATCATGATTAAACAAATCAAAATAATATATGTACGGGTGTAACTATGTAAGTTGACGACTTTGTTGTATATTTATTTTACTTCGTCAATTTACCCAAGTCATCTTGCCCCACACATTATTTTTAAACGTTTTAATTATTTATCGGCACATACGATTTTAATATATTATGTACTTTCCTAAGTATAAACTAGATATATTAAATATTTATATTTACGGTGGTTCGAAAACTCTTATGGTAAATGTACCAAAAATATTATCAAAGCGTCGTTTGATCAAAAAACTCGTATAAACGGTTTAATCCTTATCAGAATAATTTTAAAATTGAAATTTAAGTTGTTTTTAACATCATGTATGTAATCGGTAAATAATATCGATTGATATCATAATTTGTTCAGAAATATAATCGATTCGTCTCAACTTATCCGACTCGTCAACTTACCACACTCTCCCCTAACTCTTACCAATGTGTATGGGTGTGAATAACCTGTGTGCACTTACTTGATAAAACATTTTCAAAGAAGAAGGTGAACGTTACAAAATATAATTTATATTGGTTTGTTCGGACACTTGATAACGTTTTAGTGATTTTGTTTATTGTAATCTCAGAAAGAAGACGAAAATCCGATGCTGCTGCGAGTTCGCATCGAAATGAAACTGAATATCGCTCGAGCATACAAAAATAAACCTACAATAACTGACACGTGAACTTACATCGTTATCTATGCAGTGATAGACACCTTTATTCGATTTACGTAACGCATAAATTCATGAGTATACAGGTCGTTCAAATGGCACTGCTATTAAAATAAGTATTTGCATACTTATTTATTTGTATTATAATATAATATTATATTACATTAAGCGACGGCGGCGATGACTTTTTTTTCTAAACTTTTTCGACATTCAACAGATGATAATGTTTTGTTAATTCTCCGCAACGAACCACGATAGATAGCTGATATGGTAATTGATTTGTAGATATGGCATTTATTTTACAATTGATATTTTGTAAACACGAACTAAATAACCATTATTCCTGTTTGCGCTATTCATTCGTGAACATTGGTAATGTTCTACAGTGTACGACTACCTATATGATTATTTTAGACTTAGATATTTTAACGGTGGTTCCTTTTTTACGTATACCAATACAATTAATTATGTAATGAATTATTAAAAATAAAAACAAACATTCTCAGTACAAAATATATAGATAATATTCGAGACATAAAACTCAGAAAATAATTATAATTATATAAAAATACAAATTCATATTTTAATTTAATTTTAGTGTGTATAGTTTAATAATCTGTTTGTATTCGATTTGTGCCATTCTGTGTTTGTTTTCCCAGGGTATAAAAATATAGACACTTGTTATTTAAAAGTGCATCGTAACTTTAAGCGTAAAATTTTCCACGAGGAAAATGTTAGTTAACCAGTGTTAAGAATTAAGTATACTGCACTCGAAACTTGTTAAAAGAAAATAATCTAGCTTCGTAAATAGCCAAAAAACTAGTGTAATATTTACCAATGAACAATGTATGAAACTTCAATTGTTATTTTAAATCATGATAGGTAACAGCTGACAGGTACTATATTCTGTATTTTTATGTCGTTTAAATTAAACATCATCAGTGAAATCTCACGTAGGTAGTAACTAATTCATTATCTAGCTTTATTTTAAAACAATCATATTAATAATTTTGATAAATAGATACCTAAAATTATGGTAAATTATGCATTATTCATTTTAAAATGCAATCAAATAAAGTTATGTTGTAATATAGATCATACAGTTGTACCAAAATATTTATCTTAAAAAAAAAATTAATGCAAACGATATTTGACAAAAAAAAAAAAAAAAGAAAGATCAAATCTCTAAAAGTAAACATTTCCCTTGTTTGTCACATCGCTGAAGTGAGATGATTGACGATAATTCGTAGTTTACAGTCATAATAAATCAGAATATACGAATATAATGAATAGCATTATAGGAGGCATAATAATATTATAAACTGTCATCGTCTCACTAGATTAGGTATATCCCATAGAAGGTAATTCTCTGACTTCTCTGACCACTATTAATGAGTCGTTTTTCAATAATTAATCTTGGAGATATAAATTATATACCTATTCTTGAAAACACTTTTATTCTGCTTCGGTATAAAGTAAAAAAATATGTTGTCCTTTAAAAAGTAGCAAAATTAAAATTTATTTTCAAAGTACATAATTATTTTACAAAGACTATTCAGTTATTCAGTGATAAGTAAGTACTCTGTATAGGTCCACCGTATTATGTATGTACGTGATTTTTTTTTTCGATTTCACGTGTTATGTATTTGTAGGCAATTCGAAGATAAAGAAATGTGTGATGAATGATAATTAACCATTCTATAAAAAAAAATCTAAACATATAATTTTCTTTTTATACCATTTAATCAATTAAATGGATTTTTTAAGTAATATTTATTTTTAACTATCATCATGGTTTAAATTTTTATTTGAGTTGGTTGGAATAGGTACCGAACTATCGACATCGAGATTTGTATTGTTAGTGATTTGTCAATGTTAACAATGACTAATAAATGATAAATAATCATCATAATGTTTTAAAATAAATAACAATTATAAACAGTAGTTTACTGATACCTATTACCTATTACTATGGTTTAGTAGTAGTCTAACGAAATATGTTAAAAAGAGCCATTCTTTGCTATTCAGTCCAAAATACCAAAAAAAGTACTGTTTAATCGTCATTAGTTTTCGCTAAAAATAATATGAAACTTACCGATCATGACAACCGAGTCTTAAAATTATGATTTGAAATCATAAAACATTTTCTACGTAGTTACATATAAAAAATTACGTCAATAAATATTAATTAGTAATATACACAGTACACGCACACACACACACACACACACACACACACACACACACACACACACACACACACACACACATATATATATACCTATTCTAACATACCTAATATAATGCGTTACTAGTAAAACAAAAATGTAACATTTTTTTTTTTTTTAAAGATAAAAATATTGTTCAATACATTTAATATAAATATAAGTACAGCAGTCAAATGTTGAATTCAATGAACACGCAGAATAATAAATAAATAATAACTTTAATACCAACTATATGTGACGATGTTTTTTTTTTTTATTTGAATATTTGTATGACATTATAGTGTTAAATTATTTAAATCATTTTTAAAAGAAAATGTTAAATTAATTCTTACTATTAGATATCATTTTATAAATCATATTCATCTATTTTAAATAGGTAAGTATGATATTTAAGCTCATTTTAATTTTGGATCAAGAAGTCAAGTTATAAGTTTGAATTAACCTAATCTTTAATTTTTATTTTAAGGAATTTATTCAAATATACAAGTTAACTTTTGTCTACATTAAATCAATTTAATAAGTTACACAAATTCGTTAAAATGTATCAACTTGTACACCCTCGTCTAGAAAAAAAGACAAGTCTTAATATTATTCATGTTCAATTCAAAAATTATATATCAGAATACTTAAGGTTATACATATAGTAAGATATAATAAGAAAGATTAGTTTTTATCTTCTAAAAAACAATATTTTTATGTTTCTATTTTTAATTCATAAAAACAGCCCGTCTATAAGTTTATTAATTTGATTCAGTTAAATAAAATTAATAAACAGTGACTTGTGATATTTTGAAATAATAAACGAAAAATCGGTATAATATATACGCAGTAAATACATAATACAAACAACGTACTAGTCATATCTCCAAGCATTACTTCTAAACAGCCGTCCACGCAATGCTAAAATTAATGTTGTTCACATTACATATTGTTAATTTGTTGAATACAGTAAAACATTACTGTATTAATAAAATTAATAAATTGTAACAACTAATATTACAAAAAATTTCAAAGTAAAAAAAAACAACAATTTTTATTTTATTATTGTTCTTCAATATTATATATACAAACATAATGTCATCATAACTTACAATCAACAGTTTGTGCATTAAATTTTGGCAAACAAAAATATAATAATTATAATAATATTGATGAAATTAAAATAATAAAAAAAAATTATTACACAAAATCGAACATACACAACCTTAGTTTTAATAAGAGTACGGCAATGATATATCATTCACCGGAGACCCATTCACTCACATTATTCGTGTTTTTAAATGTATACATATTTAATAAATATAATAATTTAATATTAATTTTCTGGTGTCCGTAAGATATTGGTTTTGATACAATAACAATAGAATCTTATAATATAAGGCATCGATATGATAATCGTTAATATTGGACCATCACTATTAAATATTACGAAAACACTAGTAATCATTTATTTTTTATTTTTTACTAAATATTATTAGACATTTGAATAATGTTTATATTACACAAGTACTGTCTATGGTATTATATATATATATAGATATTTTAGGTTTTAATAATATTAATAATATTGTACGAAACTGCACAGGATATATTATAAACAATAAAAAGAATTCTTATAGTAAAAAAAAGTTATAAAATATAAATTAGTCTAAATAAACATTTGACTAGACCCTTAAAAAAAAAAGAACCTGAAGATGTTTATATGGAACATAAAACAAATTACTTATATGTAATCGTTGTCTATACTGAGATTTATTTCTTGGAAATCGATGTTCTCACAGAAAATCTTACAATAATACATATAAATATATATATATCCTCTAGAAAGCTCTAAAGTTAAGTCAATCTCACGTGATGATTATATTTAATCGATGTTATCTTAAATGTAAAAACAAATAGTGTTATTTTTCTTCGATTATGTTTAAAAACTACTTAGATAAAAATTTAAAAGATAATGTAAAATAGGAATGTCGTATTGATAATTATAATATAATAATATTCAATCTGCTTGGGGACATGATCAGACTTAAATTGTCAATGTGCCGAACACAATCGTACTAAACCATCAAAATCGACGAGTATAGTAGACATTTAATATTATTAATTTTATTTGTTCATTGTGACGTATTTTGCCAACTAACTGGTCTCCTTCGTCTGTTCTTTTTGATACGCTATAGGCGACTGTATGGCTTTTAGAAAGTCCTGTTGAGTCTGTAGTATTTGTCTGAGGTTCTGCAACCATTCGGAACGCGACTCGGCACTATGCGCATGGCATACGAACCACAGTGGCGGCCTCTTAGGGTCGGTGGATTTGATAATAAACGACCCGTCTGATGAGTCGTCGGATGAGTTACTACTGGATGAACCGTGCCTCTCATCCAGTGTCATTTTGTTCACCTGAAATACGTCGATTTAGATTAGGTTAAAAAACACTCGACATATACACGTATCGCAGCCGAATAAATTAAATAGGTTAATGAAAAGTTATCTATTTTTCAGGATATGGAAATCTTATCTTCACACTACATAAAATATGAAAATAGTCCATTATGTGAATACTTTTTCACGATGTAATAAAATCAAATTAATGCTCAAATTTGTCATTTAATTTAAGTCTATTCATTATAGGTAATACTATTTAAATATTATTATTATACTAAATTATTATTATTTTATTATATTATTAACAGAACTGGCATGAGGAATTTTTGATTTAGTTTAGTTTTTGTTTCTATAAATGTCATTAAAAAAATATCCAATGGGTCTAAATTCTTGAAAATTTAACAAATGATCCCGCATAAGTTGTTTTTATAATTGTGTAGAATTATTAAAATACATAGGCACATTATTTTTATATATAGTTACATTTTAAGAAGTTAAAATTTAAACAAAATTATAAATTTAATTTTACACGGTGATATTTTGAATTTATTTTAAAATATTATTTATTCATTTATTCATACTATGAACCTTTTTTTTACTCGTTAACCGTAATTAAAAAAATATTATGTTATAAAATGTTGAATTATCTAAAATTATATTATAATATGGAATAAAATGTCTTATTATAATAATAGAATACTGAATGCTATATTTTTAGAAATATTTTTATCAGTTTACCGTAATGATAAAAGTAAAATAAATGACTAAAAGCTACATGTTGTAAAAAAAAATATATATGATAAAATATACTTGGTTATATAAACTGATAGGCTATATTCAATTGAAAGCGTTTTTTATATAATATAATGATACATAATTGAATTCAAATTTAACACACCCATAATACTAAATGACTCATTCGATATCTAATACACAGCAAAGCAAATACTCACTTGCTTACTTTTTTTAAATTATAACGATAAAAATTTATTTTATTTCTAAAGCTTTAAAATAAATATAACTCATATATTTTAGTAAAAATATTTAATAATTAATATTATTTTCGTAATCAATTATTAAAACTGTTTCATTTATTTAAACGTATAATATGTAAATTAACAAATAAAAATAAAATTTTATAATAATATTATAATGAAAACAATTATATCTCAATCGAATAAAAAAGTTACACGTTGCATCAAATTTGAGTTTAAGTATCACAAAAAAAAGGTCCAATCAATAATTTTTTTTATAATACTTTACGGAGTGTAAAAAATAGAACAGTTTTAATTTTATGAAATAGAATATTTTTTGTAAAATAAAAAATGTGTTAAATTTTTATAAGCAAAAAAATATCGTAAAAGATTATGTACCTGAATGTGCGCTTTATAAACATACACCGGGCTGCTAAACTGCGCCTTCTTACGCATTTCTTCGCTGAGTATTATACTTTGTTCAAAAAGGAATACGTGCAGGTCTTTGAGCGGTGGTACTCGGTTTGGGTTACAGCTGGGACCCTCAGCGCACGTCAACATGCCGTGCAACAACAGCTTACCCTGAGCGGTAATTTTGCCCTATATAAAAAAAAAAAAGGTTAAAATGGGGATCTATAGTCTTGTTTCGATTGTTTTATGACTAGACATAAATCATTATTTAAAATAATGGGAAATATTAAAGCGGAATAAATTAATGTAAGAATTGTACGTAACTTACAGTTCCAAAAAATAAATTTATTGAGAAGGTATTATGCATTATTATAAAGTATTCCTGAAATTTATGTTTAAGTCATGAAATCATTGTACAAGACGGTTATTGTATCATTATGATTATATAGCCTTATATGTAATTAGGGGTGAGAATCTTACATTTTAATTTATAAATTAAAACCCCAAAAATTGTTTTTTCTGTGATATTATCGTTTTTTCAAAAAATTACGGTTTAGTGTTTACTATTTTTTAATCATTGTTTTTTATAGTATATATATTTTTTTAAATAACAATATATATTTTTGATTTCTGCAAATACTAAAACAAAATATTTTTCTTAAAATATCGAATTTTAAACCAGAAAGGATAGTTAATCGTAATGAAGAAATACTAAATCTTTTTTTTAAATACGTTTTATGTATTCAAATTAAATAAAAAAGAATATTTAGAAAAACATACAAGAATGTGATTATACAGTAATAAAAGAATAACCTTGTATTTTGGAATGAGAGTTTTACCAAGTCTGTGGCGGAATTTAATATTATATACTTACGTCGAAACCTTGCAACCGACCGACATCCATCATGTCGTTAGCTGCTTTGGGGACTACTTGCATGACATGCATAGCCTGCCGTAGAGCTTCCATTTCGTCTGCCAGCTTGGCCCGCTCTGTATACTTGAACATGTCCCGCAACAGCAGCTGGTATTTCATAATCCTCTGCACAGGCTTGATAAGGATGTCACTTAGCTGGAGCTTGTGGCCTAGGAACTGACGCATTTCCTAGAGGTTACGAAAAAACAGAGGTTAGCTTATATAGACATTCAAACTTTCTATATTTTTGGTTACACTATTGGTAACATTACTATTAACTAAAATAAGAATAAATATTTAGAATAATAAACATCATGGTCACTGTCCTATTTTCCATTGACCTAACGATTCTCAGAAAAACTAAATACTCTTTATTTGCCATCAAGAAAAAAAAATATATGCAAAATAAAATAAATATTCTTAAGGTTGTTTGTTGTTTGGTTTTTCACATATGCGGCTATTAGAAAGCTATAAAATAATGAACGTTTCTTTTGAATCGCAAGGAAATAATTGATGCGTTGATCATAGTAACAAAAAAGCATCTTTTGAGTTTCGGTTAGACTTAATATATATTCATGTCTAAACAGTTTCGTTTCATTGCATTATTATTAAAGTTATATTACTATAGAAGTAGCTTGAATTTGTTTTCAAAATAACAAATTGTTGAACAAAAGTATTTCAATATTTTTTAGTATTTTATTTAAAATTGAAGAAACTAAAAGATCATTAAGAATGACTATATCATTCGGGATATCATGAATATTGAATTTAAAAGTTTTTGCACATTGTTGAAGTGCTAAAATTTACGAGGACCCAATATTAATATTACCAATGACGTGAGGATCGAGGCGTGGAAACGAGGCAGTTTGGACAAGAGACGGCTTTGTACTTAAAATTAACATTTAACTCGAACGTAAATATGTTGATTTATTAATTAAAATTTTAAAAATTTTACCTCGAAATAGTCATTATGATCAGAAACTAGGTATTCGGAAACTGGCTTGTTCTGACAGTAAACCACGTACATTAAAAGCTTGCGTTCGTATTTTTTGAACAGTTTGCCGAGCTCATGCGGTCGGGTGAGACATCGCTCAACAGCCGCTAAAAACACACTGTAAAAAAAAAAATACAAAAAATTATTAATTGAAAATTGAAAATACAGAAAAAGTCAAATTTATTACAATCTGAAAAGATAGCGCACTAAAAAATGATGAGCGTACTTCCGGGATAATTTATTTTATTAACAATTAAATGATAAAATTAAGAATTAAAGGCATTTCATAATAAATAATATTGGTATATAAATAATTATTTGTTGAGTTTAAAATTATATGATTAGTAGTTTTTAGTATATAGTAGTTAAACTTATATAAGACAAAATCCAACAAAAAAACAATTTAAATAACATAACAACTGAACTAAAAAGCCAAAAATATTTAAAAAAAAATAAAAAAAATAATTACTATTTGAATAAAATATAAATTAAAAAAATTAAATTGTTTACTAAGATAATGATAATAATAATATATATATTATACATTTTAATTTACTAGATGTTCAAACATATTAAAATTACTCACTCTCTGTGCCATTCGTAGATAAGTTCAATGTTACCGAAGATCATTTTGTCTTTGCCAGATTTCAAGTCGTCAGGCATGGGGATGTCACAGCCGGCGGCTTCGGGATCTTTCATCACAGTCATGTAGCCTTCGACCACTAGCGACAAGTCTCTAACATAATCTCGTTCGGTCTCGACCAGCTCTCTCATAACGTACTCTCGTTTATGCAGCGCTTCTTCACACTCAACGTCGTCGTTTTTCAGTCTCAATTCACCACTCATCTTGTCGGTAGGGAAGATGACGGGGTTGGTGATGGAAGCGGATGAAGAAGCAGCAGCGGCGGCGGCAGCTGCGGCGGTGGTGGTATGTTGTTCCTGTAAAAAGACCAATGATTCAGACACGAAAAAATGACAACAAAAACTAAGAAATAAATACATCAAAAGATAAGCCGTGCGTAATTAAATATTACTATACTACTGTAATTGCAAACACACGCACACATAATACTAAACATTAAAAAATATTAATTCTATTTATCTACATAATCTATAACAATTGCATTCTACACAAAAATTTTCACTCTCGAAATTCACCATTCTATCTTTGACGATTTGTTCGATTTCAGCCAAGTCGGCTGAAGACGAGGCTGTCACTTCCGCCGACAGTCCTGAGGTCTGAAGAATAACAAACACAATGTTGTTTTCGTCAATTATTAATTAATATTAAATATAACACATAAATATAATAAGTCTTGATCACAGACCAAGTACATAGATGGAACTTGTAGGTACCCCTTACAACCATAAATAGAAATCAGGAGGGTTTGTGTGAATTTAATAGTTTACAAACATTTTAAAGCGTTAGCTTAGCCCCATTACTACTAAATATACAATGATTATTAATCCATTTAAATTTTAAATATTTACTTACTAATTCTTTCCTTTAAAATCATTTAAATAATGAAAAGAATTATGCAAAACATTTAAATCCCCTACACTTACAGTGGTATATATAAAAAAAAAAAAAAATTGTCAATAAAAATCAAAAAAAATCTATAGTTTCACTAATGATGGTTTTTTTAGATACGCGTATAGATTGGACATAATCTCATAACAAAAGAACAAAAACATTTTGTGTAAAAATTACGAAGTAAAAAATAAATAAATAAAAATATGTTGAATATGTTTACGTACTTTAAAAATGTAATATCACGAATAAATACTTAATAAAATAAATTTAAGTAAAATTCTTTTGTTTTAATAATTGATTTACTTGGCAAGGAATCCCTTACTTTATACGACTCAAAATAAAAAAGAACAAAATAATTAAAAGGCATTAGGATTTCATTATAAACTTAAAACATTAGAATGGAAATTTATGCTTACCAGAATAAATTCTCATAAAGTAAATACATTATGGAAATAAAAGAAGTGTATTTTAATTTAATTTACTAAAAATTTATTCACAACATCATATCTTTATAGTGATTACAGATCTTACACTTATTTATTTTTTTTTTTTTTTTCATGAAATTCAATAAAGAGTTTTTATTGTGATATCACCAAGTTCTTTGATACATAATTACATTTTTATGTTTTATTTTTATTAGTTTTTTCTCTCAGTGATTATGATACTAACATTTTTATCACCACGTGGCCATCTTTCTTTGTGATTAATTAAGTTATTACATCTAAATCATAGATTTTATTTTTTCATTAAACTTGTGTATAACCATGGTGACAAATTGCAGAACATGAAATATAAATTTTCCAATCAATTTTTAAATTGTTATTGATTGACAGAGATATTAATATCTGATTATGATTTTTTTTTTTTTTTTTTGTGAATCGTTCTATAATATTGTAATTGAATATACAAATATTGGCTAGTAAATAAATTAAATACTTAAGAGTAATTTCTGTTACACTACAGTTAATATAATTAATTTCGTGAATTAGTATTTTTCACTTTTTTGACGTACCTTCAATACGCGTATAAAAACAAATATACAATCTTGTTAGCAAACAAGAAGCTAAGAACGATGTGTTCGAGGAGAAATTCAAAGATAAAATAATACGCGGACAAACGACGATGGAAGTCCGCAGCTGTCGTTTCTCGCATTTAGAATACAAACGTCTCGTGCTGCGTAAATGAAATTGAATGAGAGATCGGTCCGTGCACAAGAACACGCTAAAAGCGCGACGGTAGTGATTCCAGATTTCAATTTATTATTTTTTAATGAAAAAGTTAACATGTTTCAAATAACTTCATTTCTAATCGCACGATTTAAAAGATTTTCACAAAAATATCATTTATATTGTCTTTTTGATACTTTGTCATACACTATAGGCATCAATTAGATTCGATAAATAATTGGTTATCTCGTTTGAATAAAAACAACACAATTTACACAACTTAAATAAGAAATTCCTGTTTTGTGAGAATATACACTATCGTGTCACCACTGTATATATTTTTTTTTTATAGTTAGCTCGCGCTACGATTGCTAGATTAAAGATTACATTAAATAGGTATACAAATTATGGATATTGATTTACATTACTATCGATGACATATTATATTATTACGATATTCATGGATTCAAAAATAAACTTAACTGTAAAATATAAACAATAATACAATAATAATCAAACTCACTCTTTGTGAGACGACTGTGTTTGGGTCGGAAGAGTTCACCAAAATCGACTCAGAAATGGGTTTCATAGGCGGCGGTAATTCGAGTTCGTCATCAGGTTCTTCACCGTTCTGTTCATCATCATTCGGTAACGATTTGGTGGCTTCGCTGATGGGTGACTTAAGAAACAAAACAATATGTAATTATATATTTAACATACACATACATATATAAATACATTCATCATTAGAAGATTCAAAGCATATAATATGCAAACTTCATAGTTTTAATTAATTAATAATAATAACCATGGTTCGAGACTTGCAGCATATAAAAACTTTAAAATATGAATTTTATATGAAAAAATAAAAAATAAGTTTTTAAACATTTTAAACAAAAAACACATATGAAACATTATGGTTTGATTTTTATCTTTAAAATTTCTTTTCTTTTTGATAAAAAATAATTTCACTACGATCAAACCATAAACTTTTTTTTCTTAAAACATATAAATTGTATAAATTTTTTGGTTATATTTTATTGTATGAAGCTATAATAATATAATTTATCAAGAAGCATTCACCACAACTTTCGAACCTAGTAGGTAGGTAATATGGTGGCTATAAGTAAGTAGGTATAAATTTAAGTTTACTTTGTATTTTTTATCTGATCCCTTTTTGGCCGACGATTGCACGTGGTTTTTGTCAACTTTGCTGCCGTTGCTGAATTTTCTCAACGGTTGTGGAATCCACATCCTTCTGCAGACAAAACACAAGGCGCATAATGAGTATACGACATAATTAATAATTAAATTATAATAAATACCATCGCGAACGCGCCTGTGGTCAGAGACTAAAATATATTTATGCATATTATATACAACCACATATGGTCATAGATCGTAAAACGCGTATTATTATTATTATTATATATATGGTAATGGGCCGAGGTTGGGAAATCTCCGTATAGCCCTATAAGGAAACCCAACGGACAAAATATCATCGTTACAGTGGCGCCGTGGCGAATCGTTTTTATCAAAAAAATATCGCGTTACCGACGAGTTTATTATAATAATAAACGCCTTTACGTATATATATATACATAAGTATCTATGTAGTATATTTACATATCGCAAATATTAAATGTTAGTGCGTAGTATGTTTCACAATGAAAAAAGAGTCTCACAAAATAAGAATTATAATCACATGAATATAGTTGAAGTGTAATAATACTGAATGAGGGGGGAGGCGCACACACCCATGGCATTATTATAAATATTACATTACTAATAAGTAATAATACATTGATATTATATACACCGATTTATGTATGTAGGGTCATGGAACGATATAAACTGTACATAGACATGAATTATGTTTTGGAAGTTTTATAATTGAGACAAGTTTAACATTCTATCAATAATAATAGAAGACTTAGCAGCATACTTCTTTTTTATTTTTCAAAGCCTCAGAACAATATGGTAGAAATTTGCGACGAATAAAAAAAATTTCTATCGATGTTGTGAAATCCAAAAACATATAATTAAATTTATATTATAATGTAAACGTATATATCGATCCCCGTTTGCGACAAAAAATTTAAGATACGGCGGAAAACTCGAGATGCCTTCCGAAACAGTAAAGAATCAAAGTTCGTTATGCGTTGCCATAATATATATATATATATATATATATACGTTTGTATATTTATATCATTAATAATATTATAATAATTAACTTACACTGTTATGACCTAGAGCGACTGTTATAATATTTATTTTATAAAAAGATATTAATATGTAGTTTGATTTATTAATTGGTCTACTAAATAATTATTAAAATGAATTTAAAAAGAAAAAGTAATTATATTCAAATCGAATATAATAATAATATATTAAGTTAAATTAAAATGTATTTCAATAATGCACGTACCTACTTACTGCAAAATACAATAAAATTAAATCCTAAAATATTCTATAGTATTAGATATTTGAATACTGCCATAAAGAACACGCTTGATTTAATCAATATTTATTACGTCTCTGATATCTCATGACATATTTACGTTTAGGTATTATAAAAATATAGATAAGGTATCTATGTACATTTCACTTTCTCAATATGATAAAATTAAGTTTATTACAAAAAAAAAAATAGTAAAATTCCACATAAATATACTAATTAGAACAATACATAAAAGTTATTAACTTATGCAGAGAAAATATTAATAGCAAAGACTCTTTAAACCTACTTAATATTCGAACTTCATATAGTATACAAGATGAAAACAAATTATAAATCGATAAAATGTATCAGTTTAAAATTATACAAAAAATTATCAACAACAATTGACAGATATTATAATTAATGTGATTAAAAACATATTTTCGAAATAATCGATTTATTCGATAGTACGTGCGCGACATAATTTAATATATTATGTGACAAACAAATAACTATAAACCGGAAAATGTGTATATTATCAAAACACTTGAAATGAATTAAATAGTATGCATATTGCAAATGTATAAACACTATAAACGAACTTAATGTTATTTCTATACTCCAATGTTACTTTAATTGTTTATTTTTAAAACATATTGATTTATGTTGAAAAAATAATATTCATTTTTATTTTTAAATAATTTAATTTAAATATAAAAATTATGAGAACATATTATTTAAGTATAATTAATACTATATATTGTTTTTAATATACCTACAATGTATGGTTGAAGAAAAGAAAAGTTTTGAGGAAGTCAAAAAATATTTAAGTGTAGAAAATGAAAATGCCAGTCCTAAAATGCGAATTTTGAAATTTGATTTTTAAAATTATACAACATTAGTTTTATATCGTAGTAATCTTTTGTTTGCTCATTTTCCCAACCCATATGATTATGTTTTTAAGGAAAACGAATAGCACACATATTCATATTTAAGTTCTAAATGTTAGGGGAAGGGAAGTAAACAATCTAGTTTTTTGGATTAGGGAAACGTGTGGAAATTAAAAATATACATATAATTTTTCCGGTTAATCAATTTTTTACGCATTTGAAAGCAGTTAAACAAATTCATTACGTAATATGATACTAATTATTAACAAAACAATATAATTCAACATCACATTTGTGGGTTTTTAGCAAATTGCACATGAAGTTTAAAAAGAATAATTGTATAACTATTTTATTTATTTTTATTATTTTAGGTACCTATACTTTTTATGAAGTCACCTTTTCTAATTTGAGAAATTAGTGAACTATTCTTAAATGAAATATAACAATTTGTTAAAAATATAACATTTATAGTCAGGGTGTGAACACTTGCTCCTTTGATTTACTATAACATAATGTATTTTTGTTTTTTTGAAAATTCAAATATTCTACGGCTATAGACTATATAGGTAAAAATGATTATGTGGGCAACTATCATCAGACACGTAAGACAAAATATTTTATTTTTAACAAAGGAAATTAGTTAGGGATATATTTCAGCTCCTACTTTGAAAGTTTGATAATTAGGGAAAGGGCTGAGTACAAACAGGATTAAAAGAATAAACCAGCACAAAATAAATGGTGAAATTCTGTTTCGAAATTTCAAAGCGGTGGGAGGGGAAATGGAACTTTTAGCTACTAGATAATAAATGTGTACATAATTTTACTTTTTGCATTATCAAAGGAAATCACCGCCAAGTTCTATTTTTTTATTCTAAGTATAGTTTATATTAATTTCTATCACAAAATAAATCAATTATGAAATAATTGTCTCACTAATTTCAATTATTGTTATTTTATAAATTTTGTAATTAAAAAAAAAAAAAAATGAATCATATTATAGTTCATAACCTTTATATGGACAATATATTATATTATAGTTGTTGTAACTAGGAATATAACTATATTATATGAGCAAGTTGGAGCACTGTAATGTACTTATATGCATGTTAAATTCAATAATAAAAAAAAATATATATTATTATTAGCGATTTAATAATATAATATACGATAAATAATTATTGAATTACAGAAAAAAAAAACTACTCATTTAATAATAAATTTGAATAAACACCTGAATACCCAATTTTGTCAAAATTTAGATTTAAAAAAAATGTATGCAAATATTTATAGAATTACGCTTCACCTTTTTTTTTTCTGATTCCAATAATAAAAACTCATAAAAAATCTTGTATTTAAAAATAATTTACAATTTTTTGTGATTTAAAAAAAATTTGTAGAAATTTTTACTTTAAATGTTGATTAAAAATAAAATTTTAAATGCTTATAAATAGTAATAGAGTCAAAATATTTTTAAATTAAATTTATACCATCAACAGAAAATTTGATATATAAACATTTGGTGACAATTTCAAGTACTTAAATAAAAATCACATTTTCATTTACAATAAAATGAAAAAATCAATTTTGTCAAAATCTGGTTTTATTTTCTAATTATTAAGTAAAATACTGAATATACTTTTATTTTTATTTTTGAACACTTTTCCTAACTGAAGAATAAAGCAATTTTACTGCTACAAAAGGTAATGGCAGACACATAAAAAATAGACTCCATTGTAACATCAAAACATTTATTTTTTAATCATATTATTTTTTATTGAACTTTGAATTATACTTGTAAAAGAAAACTTCCTTATTCTTCTATTAATGAAAATTCTAATATTTTAATACTATTAACTTAAATTACTTGATCGCTATTTTTAAAAGAAGGAAAATATAAAATATTTAAGTAACTTTAACTCATATTATTTTAAAAAAAATCAAACATTAAATATTTAGAAAATAGATCTTCTTTTATTTTCAAATCAAATTGAAGAAATATTTGTTTGGATTCAATAACTATTCTTTAAACTTCATATCAGTAAAAAGAATAACAGGTTTAAATGAAAATTTAAATATATACTTAATAAGTAATTATTGATCTACAAATAATACATTTGAATGTAGCATAAAATTTGTTTGCGTATAATATATTCAGTAACACAATAAATTACCATACTAATTACAAGAACCAAGAAATAATCATGATATTTAGAACAACTAGTAATCGATTAATCAATAATCAAATTATCTTGTACAATAGAAAGTAAAAGAATCAACAATTCAAAAAATCGATGTTGTAGACGACTGTTGACAGAAACCATTCAATGTTAATAAGGAGAATACACAACTAACGATTTTACAGCAAATAATGTGACATAGGGGGTTATACTATTTAACACGGACGATATAGCAAAATGCATCGACACACATAACAATATAATCACAATTTGTGACACACATAATAGGTATACACAACAAGCGATGACAAATATGGGTGTCCGACAGCTTTTATATAAGATGTGGTATCAATCAATAATATATAAATTGATATTATAAAATATGACGGATTAAACAGTCTACAGCAATTGTGCAAAATAAAAAACCATTACATACCCGCTGAAAACACGTCTTTTGGTCACTGGTGAATTGTTGCAAGCCAAAGATGCTGCAACGGCGGCTGAGGCGTTATCCGCACATTCTCCCGAGGTAGTTTCTGAAAGAAAAAATAAATTACAATTACTAACACCGGAGACATAAAAATATACGTTATGCGTATACCTAGCTTAATGTAATAATTTCGACTAGTTAATTAAAAACCTAATTGACGGTGTCTAAAGTATTTTTTTTACATAAAAACGACAGCTTAATATATTTATGGCGATCATCGTATGCCATCGTGGTGTAAATGTTACAATTCATTAATCACTACCATGACTGAAACAATTGCGCAAAAAGTAAATGGGGACGGACGGCATCATTTCCTATCTAGACAGGATACATTCAAGTAACGCGAATGTGACGACGAATGTACTAGCCAGAATACGACTACTTCCGGAGCTAATAATAATAACACAAACAAATCAAAGTCAAACAAAAATTATTGTTAAATAATAAAAAAAATTATTGTACTAGGATTAAAAAAGTATAACTGCTATCGGTACACTAACTAAAGAAGCGTTCAATTTAATGAATAATTATATAATATATAAATAAATATTTTTATACATAATAAAAGACAAACAAGTTTAATGGTTTTAAATAACTAAATAAATTATAAATTGTTTATAACTACTCAATCATTGAGGAATCACCATTAATTTTTAAAGTATAAGCTGGCATATTGCAATTGAAAACGATTCTATGAGAGGTACCTTCAGAGATTAATCATTCAACACTCAAATACTATTAAAACGTTTATAATGCTATGTATTATTAGTATAAAATATATCATAACAAAATGTTGAAATAATTAATTAACCTGGAACGCGAATGTTTAAATTGTAAATTTGTGGATATATTCATATATATACCGTTGAGCTGACTGTAAACTGCTGCATAATAAGGCTTAGACTAAAGTCGTAGGTCAACCAAAGTAGGCATTTTAATTAAATAGTGACAATAAACAAAACGCGAAAAGAATAACAAATTTACAAATGTAAACAAAATATATAATAATAGAAATAATAAAAATATATTTGCTCTTATGATCAGTTTTTAAAAATCCATTATATTTTCGGCATATTTTGATTATAGCGAGTGAGGTCTCTTGATTTATGTATCTTTTACATATACTTAACTATATTATTTCATATATTTTAATAATTTCAAAATCTAGGTATTATAAAAACTATTTAGTACATAATACTTTCACGATTCATGATTTTAAGTACATTTAATAATTTTAGCAAAAAACTAATTATTTTTTATAAGTATCACGAGTATTTTATAAAATAAACAGTTGTCAAAAAACTTGAAGATTAAATGAAATACACCATTATTTTAATTTTATGATTTGTAAACTATAATTCATTTTCACAATTTCTATATTATTTTGTGTTAATTGGAATCACCCATCTCATAACTGTGAACAATAATTATTTGAACGTCACCTTTATTCGACCAAAATGCGATTGAATTAAAAAGAGTAAGAAATCATATTGATGTAAAATATAGTTAGACACTCCTTGGTACGCGACTTTTTTTTTCAAAACCTATGTAGTACTTATGTATGATGTAATAATAAAATCGATTTTATTACAATAATAATAATTATTATTATTATTATGTGTATCAACAGCGGGCGATGAATCCATGCGGTTGTCATCCTACAATTAACGAGGTACTCTTTAATATTATTACAACATTTATTAATCGCTATAGTAATAGTATTGTGTATGGACTATATTTCTATATATATATACATATCGATATAAAGTACATACATCGATTTTGGTATGCGATAATAAACCAACGCAAGTCGTTCCGTCCCTTGTCAATTCGGAAGAACATGATACGTACTAACTTATATACAGTACTACTGTAACAGTATATTATAGTGTGGAACGATGCAACATTGTGTAACTAGGGGTTTTTAAACGACATCAATATTATAGATTACTCTATTTATATATTCTGACAATTTCTTCGATAAACAAATATAAAACATTTTGAATCGATAACAATTTATTATATAATACAAGTATTTATAATCATTAGAAATTTAACACACTAAAATTTCGTAGAGTACACTAAGCTTTAGATTATTTTTTTTAATTTCTCAAATTACAAAAAAACAAAACAAAAAATAACAACAAATATTGCGCCGAAAAAATCTTTTAGTATCACTAGCAAGAGCTTAATATAATACATTTTATGAAATAATTTATATTAATAATCGATGTAGTAAAAATTACATAATGTATTATTATTATACAATATATACAGTTTATTCGACAATATAATTTTTAATCGGTATGAAACTGATATAAATATTTAATAGGTACACAACACGACCTTGAACTGTAATATAAATAGCAATAATTAAGTAGTTTACAAACAAAAATTTTGGAGAATTTCAATAAATTAAATTTATTCCGTGTGCGATGAAGGTGAAACACTAACACAGAAAAAATGCATTAAGATTTAGCAGTTTAAAAGGCCTTCTTCCATGCTTTGGCTAATTTTTTTTTTATTTTTTTTGCCCTATAGGTTATAAATTGCCTAAGCGATTATGCATAATCCAATAATAAATAATAAAAATAATAAAATAACAATAAATAACCACTAAAGAAATAGCGGCGATACCAAAGAGCGTATGTAACTGAAATATTATTCGAGACAAGATTTAATATGTACATAATCACAGTAGTAGAGTGTAATTATAATCTATTTCGATTAAAAATACTGTTTAAATATTATACAATATAATACAACAGCATTAAATATACATTAAAATATACTTTGGCGGTATATTATTGTTTATTCCGCGGTAGGTGTAATTCAGTATAAATTCAATAGTTATTTTACAGTAGTCGTAGACTTTATAGAATGAATGATGCATTTAATATAAATGTATAAACATACTATCCAGAACCCTCTATAATGTTATTATGTAAATTCGGAAGTGGAGCGACGAGGGCGAACATCTACAGACGGAATCGACACGTTATTAGTTCATTACAAAAATGAAACCACCTAACTAATTAATATACGTTTAAATTATAGTAAATATTATTACGGTGTGTGTAAATAAAATATACAATGGAATATATGTGAGCTATTGTTGAAAACGATGATGCTAAAAACAACGGCGATAGCATCACCACAATACAAATTATACATACCTACATACAATTAATGTAAATATAGAAGTATTCAGTGTACATTACATATTTTTCTCTTATAGAGCATAGTTCATTTTAGTTTTTAACTTAAATTGTTTATCATAAACATTGTTACATTACTTAGATAGAATAAGGTATACGTAAACGAAATTTAGCTAGGTTAGGTTAAGTCGTATAGTTTATATAAATTCTGGTCATACTATAGTAACAGCATTCTTATCAATATTATATATATTGACAACAGATAATTAAATGTTTTTTTTTTTTTTTTTTTACAGTTAATAAAATAAATACCAATTATTTTAAAAATAACTAATGACAATCATGAAAACAGGTCAAACTCCAGTCCCATTCGTATGGATTTCGTATGCCGAGACGCAATCAAGACGACGACTTGGACAACATTAGTATTATAAACACGTGTACCAGATCGTATATAATATAACATAGGTAATGGAGTTGCTCTTTGTAGAACACGCGATTCACGTTTAATCCTGATATGATGTCATTAAAGCACGCACTAAGAATGTATATTTAAGAAAAAAAAAATAGCTTTAATAGGTTGTTTGGCTATAATAATCGTGGATGATACCACAGTATATACCTATATTATGCAAATAATATTTTGAAAATGCGTTGATCAGATGTCAGAAATATTATAGAATGCGCCGACACAGAAAATATATGTGAGTAACATTAGATTTGCGAAACTCGAGAGTCGACACCATCGATAAAGATGTAACCATAAATAAGTAATGAGAAATCGACTATTGCAGTAGTAACGCGGTCAATTGTATAAACCGGACCACCCCGCAACCCCGCAGTAATTGCAATAACGATGATGACGAATGAATGATGACTTGTACTTTTAACTATATAAGACGATGATTGACGCTCAGCCTGCAATACAAAGGAGGTAGTAAACGAGTGTTGTCCGGCGGCGACAATAGGCAATAATATTATATGTATGCGTTTCGCTTCCGGATAAAACGTATTGACCCTTTTTTCGACTTTGAAATACTTATCGAAGAGAACGGCGTAATCGATGATCGTTGGATTCGCGGAGAACATAGAACAATATGATAAACTATATATATAATATATAATGTCATTGCGTGTGTTATTTTGAAGAAACTAAGAACCTAACCTAACCTTGTATGGCACAAAAAATGTATACCACGCATATTTTCGACATTCTCTGCTCGGCCGCCTTTAACTGAATGATGTATAAATGATTTTTACTATTAAAACTTTAAAAAAATGTTGACCTCGAAGACGACAGTGTTATAAACATATTGTGCTTACTTTTGTTCAGCTACAGCACTAACATCATATCCGAGAAAAGAGCCGGATTGAACTACGCCATTTTCTGCTGTAGCACACAATTCGTTTTTTACAAGGTAAAATATTATAATTAACGTTAAATTTGTTCTTCTCGAGGTTGATCGTATCACACACGCGCGTTATGGTATTTGAAAAATTAACCACTGAGAATGGCGCCCTAGCATATGTATATGCGTACAAGGTAGATCAGTCTATATCATTATGTTATTTATTATTTATTAAATACTAATGCAGCAACGCGCGTTTTTGTATTTAGGCGTGAGACATGGCTGGTAGATGATGTGAAAGCTTGTAGACGACACGCACGAGCCAATCCATTAATTGTATAACGATAAATAATAGTTAAGAGAGGAGATTATTTCTCTAAAAATCACGAAAATTGACTAAGAAAACTTTTTGTTCAGTTAATTAATAGGCGAAATCGTATAATAAATAGATTTCTTAGCGTGTTAATACAATCGATATAATTATCGTTTGAGATTTACATAAAAACGACACAGTAATTATACCTGTAAACATGACACAC